GACCCCGCTGTCCACGCCCAGTGCCGCCGCCACCAGCGCCTGGGCAACGCTCGGCCGCATCGCCGCTGGGGAGGCCGCCCGGACACGCCCGGCCCTCCTCCTCCTCCTCCCTCCTCCTCCTCCTCCTCAGGCCGTCTCCGCCGCCGCCGCCACGCGGCCTCCGCACTCCTAGCGCGGGCACTTCCGTCGTCCGGAGGCGGGACTTCCTGTGCTCTTGGAGACGGGTGCCCGGCGGGGTCAAGAGGCGTTTCGGGCCGCAGGCGTGGCTCCGTCGCCTCACGACAGCCCCGCAGTGTGGGCCGGCGATCCTACGGCACGGCAGAGGTGGGCGGGGGCGGGGGGGGCCCTTGGGAGAGCGCGCGCGCAGCCGGGCCCCCCCAAACCGGAAGGCGACCCCGCGCCCCGCCCATCCCGGAAGCGAGGGCCTCGCGGAGCGGAGGAAGCCCCGGCGGGCGGCGTTGCCATGGAGACCGGGCCAGGAGGCGGCGGGGGGAGTGCGGGCCCCCCCATGCGCCTGCGGAAGCGGAAGTCGGAGCTGTATCAGCCCGCCCCCGGGGGCGCCTTGGGGCGGGGCCCCGGTGAGTGACTGTCGGGTGGGGGGCGGGGGCAGCCCTTGAAGGCCCGGGCGCGCGCCCCCCACCCCCCACTTTCAGCCAGACCCGTAGCTCTGGTGGGACTCTTGGGGGGCTCTCCCCCCTTTCTTAAAGGCACAGCCCCATAGGACTTTCTCCTGTACATGCTTTTTTCCAATCATTTATACACTTTTTTTTTTAAAGGCGTGCGCTCCTTTAAGCAGAGTGGGGTGCCGTAGCTGACTTAATTCCCGGACTGAGCAAGGGGGTTGGAGTAGGTGACCTCTATGATCCCTTCTGTCTCTGTGTCAAGACACCGGTCTCCTTGAAGACAGTTTTTCCTGCCCAAGTGTTGGCTTTCTTGACTGCAGAAGTCATCACCCCCACCGGCCGGCTTGTTCTCAGAACTGTTGCTTAGGCTGGCTGAAGTGATGAACTTGCAGCAGCTGAGAACTGTCACCTAAAGTGGTTGCCAGCTTGCCATTTAGAGATCTGTCCCGGTCACAGCTTTCTATTGGCTCAGTGGCTTTTCTTCCTGAACTGGGAACTCCAGCCCCCACCAGAAACACAAATCTGCCCCACAAGCACCAAAATCCTGGCTCTGGGCCTGCTTCCAGCCCTGCCCTCCCTCTCCCCCAGGAAGCTCCAGGCGGCCCTCCTCCTCCTCTGCTGCCCTTTCGGCAGCCGCCTCCCCCGGGGCCGGCTGCAGGATCACTTGCATCACCTGAGTGAGGGTGCTGGGGTCCTCCGGGGCTATGCGTGGAGGCCTGGCCCGTGAGCGGCCCTGAGACCGGCTGCAGACGTGAGGCTGAGCTCCTGGGCCTTTTTGCAGCCGTGCTGGGGGAGACGCTTGGCCTGGGCTTGTGCACCGTCGTCCTGAGGCTGCTCAACTGCTTTCTAGTCCAGACCAGTTTTGTCCCGGATGAGTACTGGCAGGCCCTCGAAGTCGCCCATCGACTGGTCTTCAAATATCCTTTGCTGGTTTGTGAGCAGGTAAAGAGCTGGTGGGCATTTCCTGGAGAGGACAAAGACCAGCCCCGTGCATGCTCACTCAGAAGCAGAACTGGACTTACCTCACTGCACACTCTTGGCATGCACGGGGGCTTTGCCCCAATCTAGACGATGCCTTCTCTGCTCCCCCCCCCCCCCGCGATTTCTTTTTAGGTGCCCCAGCATGGTGCCTAAATACGGAGCCCTTTCTTCAACGCAGAGCTAGGCCAAGGTTGCCACAGACAGCTAAGACGGCAGGGCTTGCCTAGCCCCAGAAGTGGGGTGTGGGTTGTGGCTTCCTGGAATGTGGTGTATGGGGGGGGGGTCTGCCCAAAGTATTTTGTGAATGGAATTCAGGGCCGTGTCCCAAGAGGCCAGCCATGGTCCACAAAGCCATGCGCTGCTTCTGTAGATGAAGGCAGGTAGCCGTGTTAGTCGTGAGTCACCGCTCACTCCTCCAGATGCTTCTGTGGTGTCCCAAGGTTCTTCCTTAATGCTGCTAATTATGGCTACTTGACCTGGGAGTGGACGGAAGGGCTGCGGGGCTCGCTCTTCCCTTTCTTCTTTGCTGGCATCTATAAAGCGCTGCACCTGTTGTCCAGGGATGATGTTCAGTGGCTGGTAAGTGCAGACTCATCGGCTTCACTGTGTGTTTTCCGGCTGCAGGCAAGTGACCGGGGTTTGGGGGGCAATTCTCTGCTTTGAATAGAAATGGGGAGCAAAACCACCATCCCTTTGGGATGTGCCAAAGAGGCGCCTTCTGGCTGGTGGGTTGAGAGGCCTGCCCCTTGTCAGTGGACGACACCCCTGGCACAGGCGGGGTTTGGCTGCCTTCTCAGA